TATGACCAGAAGACTCTCGGTTGAGTCTTAATAACTTTCTGTATGTTATCAATATAAGCATCATGACAATGGATCTGTACAATCTTCTGTCTTTTTCGTAACAATGCAAACTCATCGTAGTCGCGTTTGTTGCCTGTTTTTTTCCATCTAGCATGTACTTTAGATTTTTCCTTAATTATATTAATGAGAGCCTTACTAAACCACACTGGATATGAGAATTTGTTATACTTTGTTAGTGGAATATGTTTACTTATAGCATTATTTACAACTTCATAGAAAGCCTTACTTAATATTACTAATCTGCGCAAGTGTGATACTGGCAGTCACGATAGACAGTTGTAGTTTGCCATCATATGTCGGTTTAACATAAAAGTAAATAAACTTCGACGTTTGTGTTCTTCCAACGTTAAGTAGAGCTTAAGAAATTATGTTGTATTGTATTTTTGTGTTTATAATAGAGTGGAGTAATGATAGTGTTATTTAATATTTCGATTTTTTTTATGTGATATGGGAATCAAAAGATATTTGTAAATAACGCATAAAAAAAATAAAAAATATAGTTTTTCTATGTCTTTTCGTATTTCGTTCTGCCAGCCATCTTTGTTATTGTTGTGGCCTACAACAACATTACGCCAGCAGAGGGCTCTAATATCGCTGTGGATGCACATCGGCGCTCTCTGGCGGGACGAGGACGCAAGCATCACGGCGGTTAACAACTTTTTTATATAGATACAAAAAATTGTCTGTACACTTCATCCATACCTTGGTAAAGGAACGAGAATAAATTGATTGTCACACAAACAAAATGGTCCTTCGTCTTTAAAAAGAAGGTCGAAAAGGATAACTGAACGATAAGGATCTAGCTTCTTCGGTTTCCGCCTTCTAACCAGCGCACATAGAAAAATAAACCTGTGGACTTTTGGTAAAGGTTGAAGACACGTGAGTCCGTTCCTTTTTTTATCCCTCTCATTCTTTCCAAATTATTCCGTGCATTTAAAAATTAATAATAAAAATAAAAACATTAATTATCTTTCTAATAATATTACATGTCTTAAACATAAATTCTTTAAAATTGGATAACAGATCAGCCGATATAAAACAATCTTCTGCGCGCATTCATATCATATACCTAGGTTAATAATTAATTAAACCACTAGTTGCATTTTATAATATAATTGATATCCGAACGTCTATTATTCAAGGTAAAGGAAAGAAAATAAATTGATTGTCACACAAACAGCTATAAATGTGACCATTAATCAAGTGACAAGTAAGTCGGGCAGGCAGACGCATGTCAATAAAAATTTAAATATTTTCTTGGATCTTATTATGACAATATGTCTGGCGCCTGCATTAGAGTAAGGCAAGTAAAAACAAAGAAAATACGTAGTGACATCTAGTTTGATTTCGAATACTTATTTTTTATAAACATGTTATGCGATCAAGAAGTTTATTATATTTTATTATTTAAGTTCTTAAGTGCTATTTAGAGATTTTCAAAATATTTATACTCCCAGTATATACATATTTTAAAAATCTCTAATAGCACTTCTCATTCCCTTCCCTTTTTGTAAAAATACTGACGGGACTTTGAACGAAAGATATTAAAAATGCTGACAGCCACAAAAACATATATAAATATAATTGTATTAGCTATGCTTTCACTTGATAAAAAAATAGAAACTGTTAGTAAAACCTATAAGTGAACTTAACAAAATAAACAATAATGTATTCAGTTTTAATATTGCTTATAGCTATGGATACTTGTCTTTTTAGCCTCGGAAATTGTAATGCTACCACTACTAAAAATAAGAAGAAACTTAGAGTACTATTTTTCAACTTATATAAAAAAAATAGTCAGCTATGGTTGAACTTTCTATTTATCATTAAAAAAATATATTATATATAATTTAAAACAAACTATTGTTTAATAAAACGCTATAATTATAACAATATACATGATGCGTCATTTTTGACATTTGACGTTGGCAACATTGTCACGTTCTTTCTGCTCCGAAATCTTTGGAGACACGTGCGTCTCAAACGCCGAAATATTTAAAATAAGACAAAATGACTGAAGGAACTGCGACTATTCGCACTCGCAAATTCATGACCAACAGGTAAAAATCACGTTTATTGAAATGCATTCGTCATAAACTCAAAAAATGTTGTGAAAACTTATCATTCCTACGTGACAGGTTATGTCTGACAACGTTTTGTAAATTGCAGATTGTTGGCCCGCAAGCAGATGGTTTGCGATGTTCTCCACCCAGGCAAGCCGACTGTTAGCAAAACAGAGATCAGGGAGAAGCTGGCTAAAATGTACAAGGTGACACCTGATGTTGTTTTCGTGTTCGGATTCAAAACTAATTTTGGTGGTGGCAAATCCACTGGTTTCGCCTTGATTTACGATACCCTTGACTTGGCCAAGAAGTTCGAACCTAAACACAGATTAGCGCGCCATGGTCTCTATGAGAAGAAGCGACCAACACGCAAACAGCGTAAGGAACGCAAGAACAGAATGAAGAAGGTGCGTGGTACTAAAAAATCCAAAGTAGGCGCGGCCTCCAAGAAGTGATGTGATGGATAGTACTGTAAGTTAATAAAAAAATCCATAAAAACTAATTTGTGGTTTTAGTCTAAATTCTCTTTCAAAAAAGTTTCACAAACGAATTTTAATAATTTTTCACTTATATTTACATTTGAAAAGTGAATGTAAGAAGTTTATTATTAGTTCAAAAAAAAAACTTAATTAATATTACTACAAAAATCCTGAAGTAGTGGTGCATCTTTTAATTGGGATACTTTTTTCAATCAATGTATTTTATCACTTTAGAGTTCTAACAAGAACATGTAAAGTCAAAACTATACTAACATCTTATAAATGTATGGCAGATGACCTCATTATAAAACGCACTGGTAAGTAACTCGGCAATGTTTTGTTTCAGTGTTGTATTCTAATACTCAAAATTATACTTTAAATTAAATATCGGGAAATATAGGTAGGTGAAAACCTAACTATCGAAATCTATTGAGTTAATATCTGTCTTATACAATCTAATATAATGCAACACAAAAATTTATATAGACAAAATTTACGAAAAATACACAGTAGATTTTATTAAGATCAAATTTTTTCAGTATAAACCTTTGAATCGTGATTTTAGTGAGTAACACTAACCTTTAAGGCACCTATATAAATTTTAAGATCCTATTTTGTTCATATACTTTAACATCGAGAATTACTATTAAATCAACATCACATCTTCATCTTTGACTACACTAAGGAGTCATCGCTACATAGTATTAAACAAAGTCGCTTTCTCTGTCCCTATATCCGTATGTATGCTTAAATCTTTAAAACTACGCAACGGATTTTGATGAGGTTTTTTTTCATAGATAGAGTGATTCAAAAGGAAGGTTTTTATGTATAATACAAGACCATGTGGGCGAAGCTGCTGACAGAAAGCAAGTTTTAGTTATAAAAATTAAATAGAATTCTTACAAGCATTTGAAAATTGTTAAGAGAGAATGCACCATGACCAAAAGGCATATTAAGCCGTTGGTCCTGTCAATAGCTTAATATGCTTTTTGGAGAGCTTAAGATGATACATTTTTAGTCACCAATCCTATGACTGGGCTTGCAAAAGCTCTAATAAACTTCACACTCTTCCAACTCCTCATGGAAACATTACGATACTTTAATACATATACAAATACGATTCTATACATATGAGACATTACATGATGCTTTATTCTTACATATAAGACATTTAAAAAAATAAAAACTCAAGTTCAATGTTTCTATTTAATTTCAATTTTAATGAATTAAATACCAAAATGGTCACCAAATAAGTTGTATATGTAAGGACAATGTTCTTTAGCTAACATATTGTATGGTGAATTCTTTGGTATTTTATAATTTCTAGTGAGCGCATTCCATAAGTGGTGGATGTAAGTTTTCTCCTTGTGTGGTATTTTGGCTCCAGGTTTGAAATATAAGCGATTCTGCTTATAGTAAACTGGATAGAATACAGCTGGCTCATATACTATGAAACCTGAAACAATTATATCTCAATTTATTATCTATAGGTATATAAGAAAGATTTGATTTGTTTGCATTGAAGGGCTCAGACCGAAACTACTGGAAAATTCCTTTCACCTATGGTAAACTACATCATATGTGGATGACGTAGACTCGAGAAAATAGCTAGTATTTTATAAACATTGATGAAAATGCATTCACCAGCAGTGAACGTAAGAGTATCAGAAATTAGAGTGTTTTACTAGATTGATTTGGCAAGGACGTTATTGCCTTTTATCACGCGGCGCGACTTTCAAGAGGTCTTTTTAGCTGGTTAGCATATGCAACTGGACCTGAATCCGTCTTAGCACCGCACACCATCGGCTTCTTTCGCAGTTCTGAGGCGCAGATGATATCGAATATAAAAAATGGCCTGCAGATACAAACGAGATCAACGGCATAATATGCCTTTCGAAGCACAGAGAGGGTCGAGATAATAAATTTTTGGTCACCCATCTTTTGACTGACCATTGCTAAAGTTGCTTAACCTTCGCATCGCAGATCGAACATGCTTACCACCGCACCATCGAGCTGCTGACGGTTTAATTTTTATTTAAACGAAGTTTATACATGATTTTTTTTAAATGTACCCAAGAGTAATTAGGGTAAATGCACTTAAGTATGATTCTATTAATATGGTACCTTTGCAGCCTCTGTTCCATTTCTTCCCTTTGGCCTTGCACATTTGTTTGAGCACTCGTGTTATAACACCTGGCCCGTTGTTTCCCCACACCTTAGGACTATAGTTTTTTCTAAAGTCTCTAAAACATTGTCATTTAATTTAATAACAATAATTACTTAGGTAGTTTGAACTAAATCAAATATATTAAATGAAATAGCTTTGTTAGGTACAAATACAAGGTTGTAATTTAAATGCTAGTCATGAGTTATCAACCACACATTTAAAATAAAATTCTTACTCAATAGAGGCATTAGCAATTTTCCTTCCCAATTCGTCTCTAGAATAGGATAAAACACCGGCAGACACTGATCTTTCACTCTCTCGTCCCGCAAAGTTTTTCCCCAACGAGTCTAAAGATTTCACTGCCACTACGTCAGAGTCCATGTACACACCACCATACTTATAAAGTGTCAGATATCTCAAAACATCGGAACTGTGTTCGATACGCCACTTACTCCTATTATAAGGGCTCGCTGCCACCATGTTCTCTAAAGGAGTTCCTTTGGCGTAGTCTGTCATATGAATCCTTAGTAATTTCACGTTTTTGTAATCTACAAGTTTCGATAAACAACTCCTCTTCAATACTGATTCTGTAACAGAACCACTAAACAAAACATGAACAGTCCATTCTGTATTAGATCTTGCTGCTGACTCAACAGCACAGGCTTGTCTCGATGTCAAGCCCCCTCTACAAGAAGTCTCTATGAAATATATAGATTTTTCTGGTGGCGCAAATGAATCGTCGACTCGTGTCAACACGTCGCCTCTTTCGTGTAAATGGCATGATATGTCCTCAGTTAAATTCCAACGGATTATGTACAACTCCGTATCCTTAGTTTTCGATACATATATTAAAATCAAAGTGACCACTAAGCTTAAGAGGGCTGAGTATTTGCACGCAATTCTCCATTTGTTATAATAATACATCACATTTATCTGAAAATCGTAAAACACAAGTATAATATATATATATATATTTGTTATAATTATAACATTTCTATACACAATGTTACCAGTGAATTAAGTCACCCGTAGGTATACTTCATTTTTACCTACTGATTCAAATACACTTAAAATATTAGCAACGTAATGTCTAAAAACATTAAATGAATGATTGTTATAAGGTTAATGCGACTACATTATCAATTTGTTATTCATAAGGTAAAGACAGCATATACTAACCAATGGAATGAAATAATACTTTATTATTTATTTCAAGTCCAAGAAGTAAATCTGTATCATTTAAATCATCTTAAAACTTCTTGGTTTTTTTTTATTCTTTTAATTTTTAAGGGGTTTTTATTCTTTAGAACAATGGTTATTTTATTAGTTTAGGAATATTAATTTCAAATAGTACGTCTAGTAATGCAAAAACCTAAAATATTGACTTTAGTCACAGTAAATTTTTTATTGTATTTTTGATCACAAATACGTGAAATTTTGAAAATTAATTAAAATATATTATTTTTACTAATACTTGCGTATTTATAGCACACTTACCTTAATGTTCTCTGTATGAACAGGAAGCTATTTCAGATAACACAGTCCATGTTAATTTTATATTAAAAGTTGTCATTGCAGATGAACACTGGTGTAAAGGTGCTACTTCATTAAAGCGAGGCAGCGTTTTCATAGATCAAAAAGTTCTTTATATCCTCATACTTCCGCTCCACTTCTACAGTGGGTCAGTGGCTTATTTGCAAGAATGAGATAGTGTTCACGGACCAGCTAATCTCTTAAATATAACTTTGTTGGGGGCTTACATAATGTTAATGGGGTAGGGCATTCCAGAGTCGATATGAACTTATTGGCAGTGGCACACTAAGGGAGGGCGGAGGGGGCGGTCGACCCCGGGCCTCTTGTCCTGGGGTCCTCCAAATGGCTGCAAGTTCCTTGGATCAAATCATAAATTGGGGTTGTTCTGCCTAATTATGTCCAGTTTCGTTTGATATTTCTGCCCCGGTTGGAAAAAGTTATAGTTGCAAGCCGTCACGAGCCGCCGACGAGGTTAGTCCGCCACTGCTCACTGGTCTTGTAGGTACTTACTGGTCATTCACCCCACATAGTCTTGCAATATCAGCGCGAATCGCTTATTATTATTTGTTATTATAAGGAGCTATACAGTTCCCTGAGGAACTGTAGTCATTGCGACCTTGAAGATCTATTGTGACTCGCCGCCGGAGCTATAGTAACTCCTTTGGCCCGGTAGACTTCAAAAAGTCTATAATATTCCATAATAAATATGTAAAATTTATAATTTTTATACTTGGCACGCTTGGCATTTATAACATGTAATTTACTCGTAAGTCGTTATTGGACTGGCAGATTTGCTCTCATATTTGTACTTCATTGTACTACCTTCTTGCAAACCGGACTTTCTTCCTAGCTCAGGCATGGTTTTCGTCATATCTTCGGGGGCCACGGCAGGCTATCCGGACCAATCATAGCACTTCTGATTGGCGTGACTTATCTGCCGGGGTTCCACAGGGGGCCAATTCGACTAAATAAATTTTGTTTAAATCGAATCGAAACCAAACGAAAATACAGTTTTTAATGGTTTTCCTATTCTACAAAGTACATACGATACATGCCATTACTATTACAAAATAATATACTCGCTTCAATGGAACATCACCCTTATGCTGTTATCAATTATTGTTGTGGGCGGAGAGTACACATGGAATTATGTGCCGAAATAAAACAAAAATAATCGCCTGATAAAAAAATATTATTCTATATTTCAATATTCTTTTTATTTAACGTTTGCGGCTCTAACATAATGTGAATGATGTATTTGGTATTCTAGTTATCTTAATACATTAATTAATTATTTGTCTATATTTAAATTGTTTACAAAAACTCAAGTAATCATAATTATAGATTACATAGCTCGACAAAAAAATCTTTTCTTTTTGTTGCCCTGGATATTTCTGCAGATTTATATATTTCAAGTACCCAGTTTGCGAACATATTCATAAATAATATTCCATAGGCTCTAGTTTTTTTTTTTTAATATTATTTAACATTGGTTCTGTAAAAAATTAATTACTCTGACCATTAAAAGCCGGTTTGTATAGATTTTTCTGACCATTAATGGCCGGTTTAAAGATGGTGAATTTTTTACTTGGTTAGCAAAGTGGATACACCGAATACCCTTGCTCTATTTGTTTATTGGACAGTAGAGCAAAGCAAGTTCACTGGGAACAAAATGTTTGACCTTTGAGAGAATCCTTAACTGTTGGTAAAGCCAATGTAATAAATGAGCCACTGTTAAGTAGAGAAAAATCATACTCCTGCCACTACACATCAAGATAGGTATGATGAAACAGTTTGTCAAAGCGTTGGACAAGGAAGGTGAAGGTTTTAAATATATTGGGTTGGCACAAAAGTAATGAGACACACTAGAAAAATCTATAACATTTCCTTTTTAAAATCAATTTTTCGATAATATTCTAGAATGTTGTAGAACATTCTAGGTACTTCTGGCGTATGGTATATAAAGCCGCGCTCGCGATTTGTTTAGTCAGTTTGAAGAAAAATGGACGAGCGACAAGTTCGAACACTATACTTATACGAGTACTTGTTAGGCCACAGTGCGCGGGCTGCGGCTGACAATATCAACAATGCATTAGGCGCTGTAAGTACAAGCCATGCGACGGTGTCCCGATGGTTTGACCGTTTTAAATCAGGAGACAGGAGCCTTGAAAGTCAACCACGCTCAGGGCGACCACCCGCAATGAATGATGACGATTTGCGCCGCGAACTGCAGTTGAATCCGGATGCTACCACTCGTGAATTAGCGGAAGCACTTAAATGCAGTCACCACGCCGTGGAACACCATCTGCATGAGCTTGGTTATCGAAAAGTTTTGGCTCGGTGGGTACCGCACATCCTTACAGACGCCAGTCGTGCAGTCCGTGTCGCTATCTGTCAGTCACTTTTGCTGTGACCCCGACGTAAAGAGTTTTTGTCAGATCTGGTTACTGGAGATGAATCATGGATTTATTACGAGAACGATACACGTCGTGCTTTTTGGCTGCCTCGAGAAGAAACGCCACCAACTCAACCGAAGCCGAGTCAAAAGAACCGCCGAAAAATTCTGCTTTGCTGTTTCTGGGATGCGCAAGGCATACTGTTTTATGAGCTATTACACAATGAAACTATAAACGCTGACAAATATTCAACCCAGCTTACCAAATTATCTGCCGCTATCAAGAAAAAACGACGAAGACGAGTCAATGTAGTTTTACTGCACGATAATGCTCGACCTCACGTCGCATCTGTGGTTCGCCGGCAGTTGGAGAACTTGGGCTGGGAGACGATACCCCACCCACCTTATTCCCCAGACCTCGCCCCATCAGACTATCATTTGTTTAGAGCCCTGAAACAGCATTTGCGGGGTAAACAATTTAATGATTTCTCTGACGTAGAGGCGGAGTTGAACAACTTTTTCGAGGCACAGCCATCAGAGTTCTGGGCAAAAGGCATCCAAACTTTGCCGGATCGTTGGCAAGAAGTCTTAGATACTAATGGTAATTACATCATTGACTAAACTTTTTTTATTGTAATAATAATAAAAAAGTAAAAACTTAAACCAAGTGTCTCATTACTTTTGTGCCAACCCGATATTTGTAAAACATTTCCTAAGCTGAGTATGGAAAAAATAAAAGCTGGAATATTCGACAGTCCTCAAATACGGACATTGATAAAAGACAAAAATTTCACTAAATTTATGACTGATGCTGAACGTGAAACGTGTTAGAAGTAAAAAACTTTTAAGGTAAGTATAAAGCATCAAAATATATAGAAATTGTGCAACAGATGTCAGAAAGCTTCAAGAATTTAGGCGCAAATATGAGCCTAAGCTAAATTTTCTCCAGAGTCACCTGGATAGATTTCCCGACAATCTGGCTGAAGATCAGAGGGAACGCTTCCAAAAAGACCTATAAGATACACAATTTAAATGACCATTAAAGCTTGTCGGTAATCCATTATACTGTGTGTTAGCATTGATAAGGCATTACAAGCTATTATATTTTATTCGTGGTATAAAAAGCACACTTAGGGGTGCCAATGAGGCGGTACTGAGGGCTCCATCAACTTATACTCAATCCACCACTTCTAAAGGCACATTTATAATATCCCATATCCAATTAATCGAAATCTTTCCAATAAATTTCATAGACTGTGGGGCAGTATTTCTTAGCTAATATTTCATATGAGGAGCCTTTTTCCATTTTGTAGTGTTGTGTAATATGATTCCAAAAGTGGTACGCATATGCGTCTTTTGTTGGTAACACTCCAGGTTCAAAATATATCTTCGCACGTTGCCAATCGATGGGATAGAAGAAATTAGGGCTGTATACTTCGAAACCTGCAATCAATCAAGGAATAATAATAAGATTTGTAATATATAGTAAGACAATAAATAATATTTATAAATGATTTATCATTTTTTATTTCGATTTCTAGTACTCAGTACTTTATAACTCTTTTGATCTCTTTGAATTAATACGGGGGCCTATAATAGAAAACCAACCATTACATGTAGCTGCTGACATTTTGGTGGCATCAGCGGTTGAGCACATCTCCTTGAGTACTCTCGTAATCACGCCAGGACCATTGTGGCCCCAAACATCTCCCCTGTAATTCCTGATTATATCTCTGAAATAAACATTCTCGATTAATAGGTATTAAGACCCAAATCTAATGAAATATCGATTTGAATGAGGTCAAATCGATATTTCTTCTAATCTGACCTTATTTGTACAAAAATCTTTTCTTTCAATATTAGAGAAACCCTCGGTAATGCGGGCTGATAACAGTAAAGCATCAGTCGTCTAAATACAAGATGGAGACACGTTAAGGCTACAATTAGCACACGACGCAGGTAATTTTCAACCTGTCCTATTGGAAATGATATGGAAGAAAGTAGGGAGAATTATTCGCCAGTAGATGTACACACGGCTACACGCAGGCCACCATAATATGTCATATTTCCTCAATTGATTTTGAACTATACTTAAAATGCATTAAGGTTTAATATCAACTGGAGTAATTTGACAATTTTGTAGCCTGACGTACTGTTTGACTATTGCACTGCATAAGTAAGCTCTCCAAAATAATCCATCAATTAGATTTTAACTGACAAACCTATAATTACAGTCATCACCATGCCGAAGAAATAAATTTGGTTTTATATGAATTATGGCGATAATTAAAAAAAAATCTTATGACTGCGTTTATCTGAATATACCTCGTATTTTTATAAACATGAAGACATATTTTCTTGATTATATTGACCAAGCGTTATTTCTTATTGCTTGAACCATACCTAACAGTGGCTTCAGCGACGGACCTTCCCAAACTGTCTCTAGAGAAGGCCATTGCACCTGCAGCAACTGCTGTAGTACTTTCTCTAGCCGCCCAGTTCCTAGACAAATCAGTAAACGGCTTTGCTACAATCACATCAAGGTCCAAGTAGATGCCGCCCCATTTGAACAGTGTTAAATATCTCAGCACGTCAGACGCGTGCGAGATCCGCCAACGAGTTCTATTCAAAGTTCCCTTCGCTACGAAATCTTCCAAAGGTGTGCCAGTAGAATATTTCTTTAGATGAATCCTGAAGAATTTCACGTTATTCATCTCTTGTAGAAAACGAGCTTTTCCAAGTGTATCTTTAGTCGCAGGTGCTATAAATAATACGTTTATATTCCAATGAGCATGAATTCTAGCAGCCGATTCCACGGAGCAAGCTTGACGAGAATCCAGACTGCCTTTGCATGATGTTTCATGGAAAAATATAGAATTCGCTGGAAATTCTAAACAGTCAGCCGTTTCTAGTATATCATCTTTGTCCATGTAATGACAAGATATGTTTTCTAATGACAACCAATGCATGAAGTAGAAATCTGGCGACCAACATGTAACTATTAAAATGAAAGTTGCAATGACAAAGAATAAAGCGAGAAGAATTAGGATGATCTTCCGGTGCTTAAGAATGTTACGTGTGACCATTTTCAATGTTTCTGTCGCAGAAATGTGATTTGCAGTACATTATCTACTTTCACTAATTTTTTATTGTAAAAACATTTAACTGAATGAAACGTAAATTTAAATAAAAACCTACTTAGCATCACGTCTAATGGTATAAAGAAGTCTAGATAAAGTGCCCGCAAATTGCTTCACCAGGAGTACCTTGAAAACCATTGCTATAGATCGTATGGGAACTATAACACCTGACTTTATTGCAGTAGTTAAAGTAACTTAGACCTTGTTCAGAAGAGGCGAATTCACAGCGGAAGTTGCGCCCAGAAGCGAATGACATTTGATCAGAAGACAAAACAGGAACGATATTTAATGTCACTCGCGATTTTTATTAACAGATTTATAGGTCAAGTTTGAACTATTAGCAATTAATATCATCATCGGCCCTTTTACGTCCCCACTGCAGGGCTTAAGCCTTCCTTATGCATGGTTAAGGAGAAAGGGCCAGGCTTCTATAAAAGTAGCTGTCTTTGCAATTGGTGACAATCTTTCGGTGATTGTGGTCTAGAACCAAATCAACTAATCACTGTTCTACAGAATTAGCCACCGTAGTTAATATTTCAAAAAGAGACTATTTCATATTTTACTATTGAATAAAAGGAAATAGTTGTCAGAATCGTCTCCAATTAAGTAGTAAGGTTATAATTGCTTTTATCTATAAATTTGAATATTTACTTCGTCATTCGAAATTAGATTTTCACTATATTGTGTATTTTTACTTTATATTGTGACAGTTGACCGGCGGGTTGGACACCTTCTTATTTAAAATACTTTTTATTTTTTCTTTTTTTTCAATAATTAATTAACCTATTCATATTGTTTATTTTAGGGTATATCTAAATATATATATTGATATTTATTATTATAAGTTTATGTCGGATTCAGAGGAATTAGATTTTCAGTCATGCGGCAGTTCTGATTCTTCGTTTCACTCTTTGGATAGTATGCGGGCTGACACAGAGGTGTTGGGCGATCAGATTTCTAAAGCCTTTTCTACCGTAACCGGAACTTTCAACGTTTGTCATGTTAACGCACAAAGCATACCGAGGCATTATACGGAGCTACTTAATGGTTTCACTGCTGATGTCACTCACGCGATACTCATTTCGGAAACCTGGTTTAAACCATGCCACAATTCCTTTACATACGCCTTACCCGGCTACGATCTTGTGCGAAATGACAGATTGGTGAAGCGAGGTGGCGGTGTGGCCATCTATCTACGAACTGGTATCCCATATCAAATCCTTGCCACTTCTTACCAGCTTGCAAGTAACATCGAATATCTCATTCTTGAGATTTCATTATCTGGTTCCAAAGCAGTTCTCGGAGTCGTATATTGTCCACCTGCTGTCGAATATATTTCTACTCTCATTTCCGTGTTTGACACGTTTGCAGCTAATTACGCACATCACATGATCCTGGGTGATTTCAATACTGATCTTTTGAAGGACAATCTTACCTCCCGTTTATTTCGATCAACCATCGAGTCGTATAATCTCTCTCTTCTTGAGCTTGATGCTACACACCATAATATCGACACAAATGACACGTGGATTGATCACATGCTTGTATCCTCTCCAGATAATGTCTCCCATTATGGTCAAATTCCAGCTCCAGGCTTTTCCCGACACGATCTTATTTACCTCTCCTATAGAATCAAACCTCCTAAACGTACACCAGAACTGGTAAAAATGCGAAACTTTGCACGTATTAACCTTCAAAAGCTGTCACAGGACGGGTCTAACTTAGATTGGACGGATGTTCTATCTGCACATGATATAGATGACAAGATCAACATTTTTAATGGGTTAGTTTTAAATCTTTTTGATGATCACGCGCCACTGCGTACAGTAAAAATTAAGAGACCACCAGCTCCCTGGATAACTCCTTTGGTGCGAATTGCGATGAGAAGGCGTGATAGAGCTTTTATTAAATTTAAAAGACGTAGAACCAGTGATAATTGGATCAATTTTAAAATAATGCGTAACCGTTGTAATCAGATGGTGAGAATTGCTAAACGCCGCTATTTTCATGATAGTATCCTTCAGTCATCTCAAGCCGATATTTGGAAGTTCCTTAGGTCCCTTGGTCTCGTTAAGTCTAAAAACGACACCCTCCCACATTTCTTTTCTCTTAACGATATTAACAAACACTTCTCTATCAACTCGTCATCCTTTCTATTAGATACCTCAAAAGCGCTTACTCTTATACCCTCTCTGTGCAATAGGCCTACTAATGACTTCTCTTTTTCTCTGGTGACGGAAACAGAGGTTCGCAAGTCTATTTTGTCTATTAAGTCGAAAGCGATCGGTTATGATGGTGTGAGTAGGCAGATGATTGTTTTGATTCTGGACAGTGTCCTACCAATTATCACTCATATTATAAATCACTCCCTATCTACTGGTACCTTCCCAATAATTTGGCGTAATGCGCTAGTTATGCCACTCCCTAAAGTTAATAACCCAGCAACATTAAACCAATTAAGACCGATTTCTATTCTGCCATTTATATCAAAAGTTTTGGAAGCCATTGTGCATAGTCAATTATCTGCTTATGTAGCCAGTAATCATATTTTGAACCAGTATCAGTCTGGCTTTCGTCGAGGTCATAGCACCACTACCGCTTTATTAAAAGTAACTGAGGATTTACGCGATGGCATGGGGATGTCACGGCTAACAGTTTTAGTTCTAATCGATTTCTCTAACGCTTTCAATGCTGTTAACCTTGATATTCTCATTGCGTTGCTTTCATACTTGCGAATCTCGTCTCCTGAACTAGACTGGTTCTCTTCCTATCTTCGGGGTCGTCGGCAGGCAATTCGTGTAAAGCATACACTGTCAGATTGGTGCGATTTGTCTGCTGGTGTTCCACAAGGCGGTATTCTTTCTCCCCTTCTCTTCTCACTCTTCATCAATATGATTTCACCTGTTCTCGGTAACTCTCAACATCTGTATGCGGATGACCTGCAGATTTATGGTCAAGCTGAAGTAAATGATTTGGATAATGTGATAGACTCAATTAATAAGGATTTACATAAGATTTTAGACTGGTCCGATACTTTTGGGATTCGTATCAATCCTAACAAGTGCCAGGCCATCATCGTGGGCAGTTCTCGTCATTTAGCAAAGTTGGACATGAGATCGGTAGCGCCAGTCATCTTCAACAACAATTGCATAAAATTTTCTTCTCATGTTGTAGATTTAGGCATTTGTATTGATAGCTCACTAAGCTGGCACACGCAGATAGAGTCTATTAGCCGAAAAGTCATTGGCACCCTTAGGTCTTTCTACCAGTTTAAAAATTTCCTTCCTATATCCTCTAAAATCCTTCTAATCCAATCAATCATATTTCCCATTATAGATTATGCTGATGTGTGTTATGCTGATATCACACAGGAACTTCTCAACAAATTGGATCGATTACTTAATAATTGCATACGTTTTATTTTCTGTCTTCGTAAGTACGATCACGTCTCTTCTTTTCGGAAAAAGTTAAACTGGTTAACTATTCGGCAGCGTCGAGATCTGAGGATGTTATGTACCCTTTATTCCATCATTAAAGATCCATGTGCGCCTGGATATTTGAAATGTAAGTTTCAGTATCTAGGTGCTTCACACAGCCGAAACCTTCGCTCAGACAGCAAAGAAACTCTCGCCACTCCTTTTCACCGTACAGGGTTCATTTCAAACTCATTTTCGCTTCAGGCTATACGACTTTGGAACGCACTCCCTCCCCATATTCAAACTGCTCCAAATAAATTATGCTTCAAAAGACTGTTACGCGATAAGCTATTAAATTCTCCAACCGCTTGTAATTAATCTGACTTATTTATGTATGTATTATATATTTATTTATGTTATGTAATTTGTTATGTATTTTTATTTCTATATTTTTATATATATCTATTGTTTAAGTGTAAGACACTTTATTTATATTTTGCATAGCACCGCCTCATTAAATTCTTTATGTCTTAACTCTCCGGTTGACTGGTAGAGAATGCCTACTGGCATTAAGTCCGCCATTTGTACACTTTATTTGTGCAAAAAAGTTTAAATAAATAAATAAATAAATAAAGTTCTTTTTCTTAGATGCCCCGGGGGCACATAGCAAACATAATATAACAATGATTTAGACAGAACTGCAACACCAACCTGTTCTATAACGCGAAATTATGACAAAGCTAGTATTACACGATTGTTGTCTAATCGTTAGGGATCAATGTATCTTGTTCAACAAAAAAAACCCTCGAAGATGTGGACAGAACGTTATTAGATATTCACAGAGATGATCGTCCAACGGGTAACGTCACAAGTCTCTTGATGAGATTTTTGTCAACACTTCCCGAAATAAATAAAGGAACAGGAGCAGATGACATTAATTAATTCATTGGAGAATTCATACCTCTGGCCACATATACAAATATTTAGACTGACTATCAATATGAGAGCCCAACTTAGCAATATTTTACAAGCCCAAGAATTTTTCAGCATATTGAGAAAAATTCAAAAGAACATGATCGGCTGATGATTCCTGGTGTGCTGGGAAAATATGTTACTTCAGAGTAAGACCTAATTCAATCAGTATTTGGAAACCCGCCTTGCATTTCTATAAAAATCCAAACCCAAATTTGAATTCACTTAGGCGCCCGAATTCACTTCAAAAAGCGGCATCCGCTCAATCTTGAATTGATAACGTTACGTAGCATAAATGAAGTAAGTTTCTTATAGAGTAAAATTTATTATAGCGAGCTTCTCCGTGCTTCGGAAGACACGTTACACCGTTGGTCCTAGCTGCGTCTGCGGTCGTTAAACCTC